CTCCCCTACTGATTCTAACTACACTGCGCTCAACGCTGGTGCTGCTTCTAATGACTCTCCGGTTAGCTCCCCTACTGATTCTAACTACACTGTTCTCAACGCTGGTCCTGCTTCTAATGACTCGCCTATCAACTCCGCTACTGATACGAACGACAGTCCTGTCAGCTCCGGTATTGATTCTAACGACAGTCCTATCAGCTCCGAAACTGCTTCTAATGATAGCCCCGTCAACTTCGACGCTGATGCTGATCTTAACATGATGAGAGGTGGCCGTGTGCAGAATTACAATGGAGAATACAGAAGTGGAGACAACTCGTATAGGGAAAGAGACTATGGTGTACATTTTGAAATCCCGCATGACACAGAGGATGTTACTGTTATGAACGGCTTGCATGGGGTTAACCACGCGAACAATATGAACAGCATGAACAACGCGAACGTAGACTTCAACCTGTCTGACAGTAGCAACGTATGCAACACATGCTTTGTGAACAGCCCCAGTTCTATGTACAACTCAGACTGCACCAATAGCACCAGCTTCACCAACCATATGAGTTATTCAGGAGGTACCAGCTTAACACAGGGTAGTGTGTCTGATGTTAGCACGACTGATGTGAACCGCGAGATAGGAATGAACAGTCCTGCGCAGCAGGCACAACTCAACCATGTTAACTCCACTAATGATGGTACCCCATTTAGCGGCCGTAACGACGTGAGCCCCTTTGGCGGGATGCACAGCATGAACCAGTTTAGCGGCCGTAACGACATGAGCCCCTTTGGCGGCATGCACAGCATGAATCAGTTTAACGGCCGTAACGACATGAGCCCCTTTGGTGGGATGAACAGCATGAACCAGTTTAGCGGTCGTAATGAAGTAAGCCCCCGTGGAGACATGAACAGCATGAATCAGTTTAGCGTCCGTAATGAAGTAAGCCCCAGTGGAGACATGAACAGCATGAATCAGTTTAGCGGCCGTAACGACGTAAGTCCCTTTGGCGGGATGAACAGCATGAATCAGTTTAGCGGCCGTAATGAAGTAAGCCCCAGTGGAGACATGAACAGCATGAATCAGTTTAGCGGCCGTAACGACGTAAGTCCCTTTGGCGGGATGAACATCATGAACCATGTTAACAGCCTGAACAAACACAACCACGTTAGCGACCTGTACGGCGTGAACCTTTTTGGCTGCCCCAACGACACGAATTCCATGGTCGGGTTGATCAACATAAACTCCATCAACTGCATGCATTGTGTCCTCCTCAGAAATTGTTTTAATTCTATGCAGTGCATGCAGTGCACGAGCTGCATGTCTAGGGTATTTTGCGGCAGGTGTTCGAACAACCCCAATTATATGAAGAGCCCCCACTGCATGGGCAGAACCAACTGCACCGGGGGCACCAACTTCCCCAACAGCATGAACGACATGAACGGTGTGAACGGAATGCAAAATGTAAATGGAATGCACGGAGCGAACTTCACGGGCGGTATGGACGAGGCCCAAAGAATGAGAGACATAATTGAATCCCAGTATATGAACCACATGAACGAAGCGCCGCGCATGGATGTAACGTGTCCTGCGGGGGGAGTGAACCCAGTGAACAACCAGAACGGAGTGAGCAACCCGAACGTTGTGAACAACCAGAACGGCGTGAGCAACCCGAACGGCGTAAGCAACCAGAACGGCGTAAGCAACCAGAACATTGTGAGCAACCCGAACGGCGTGAACAACCCGAACATTGTGAGCAACCATAATAAATTGAATCACGTGAACGGTATGGACAACATAAACACCACGGACAATGGGATGTGTGTCACATGCCATCACGGCCCAAACAGCACGATCAACAGCACGGTCAACAGCGTAGGATCGAACAGCATGACCGATGGAAGCAGAATGGCCACAGCTAACATCGGAATGGACACCGTTAACAGTACAAACGGACAGAACAGCCCGAACGGTGGAAGCGGATCGAACAGACTTTACTGCGCAAACTGTAGGTGCATGCTGAACCAAGGGGACACTTCGAATGGAGGAAGTCAAAATGAGCCATGTGTATACAACGGACTGTACCTTTGCCACAATTGCAGAAATAACATGTGCCGCTCCTCTAATTAGGTAGCGCATATGTACATTGGGGATATCCCCCAACGAAAGAATATAATGGAGAGCTAAACGCACTTTTGAAACATGGGAGACATATTTAAGTGTTTGGAAGCCTTCTACACGCTTCCTACGTATTTCTCCTCCCTTGACGATCAGATCGTCCTCACCCAAGAATGAAATCCCCCCCCTTTTTTTTCTTTTTTTTATCAATTTAATATAAAGCGAAGGGAATGGGACTGTGTGATCATCCCACGTGATGCGGTGTTACGTCCCCCGTTGGACGTCGCTGCCCTCATTTTAAGCGCAACATCAATGTGTGAATTGATTTAAGCGCTTTACCCTACAGCGGTGGGTAGGCATGTTTCCATCACCGCGCTTGTTGCAAAAAAAAAAAAAAAAAAAAAAAAAAAAAAGAAGCATGTTCGTCTTGTCCGTTTTTGTTCGCCTTGTCCGTCCTGTACGTTTTGTTCGTCCTGACCGTCCTCCCCCTTTTCGCAATTGCACAACTTCGACATTCCCAAAAAGAAGAAACTCGCGTTTCCTTCATTTTAAAAGTCCATGAAAAACGACAGTCCACTTTTCATGTATGCCCTGTTCAGGCAAAAATTGAACACACCAAATGCAGAGGCGCCCCGCATGGTGCCTCTCCCGCAGCGTTTGGCGGAGATCATGTTGAGGCTTTTCCCCTGTTTTAGACTCAACTTGGAAAAAACGCAAAAATACAGCCACGACGAATGTGCACAGTTAGGGGGGAAAAACACCAACTTCGAATAACGTTTGCCACTCTTCCGGTTGACCGTCATCGCCTCAACAGGTGTGTGCAAAAAAAAAAAAAAAAAAAAAAAAAAAAAAAAAAAAAAAAAAAAAAAGCTAGACAATTTAACAAAATCGCCTTACGAGTCAGGCATATTAAGCAATTTTTTTTTTTTTTTTTTGTTTTCAAATTATCAAAATTTAGCTCATGCCGAACGATGCAACAATCGGAAAAAATTCCCTCTTCTGTGAAGTGGAGTCACAGTATATTTATTACACACTTTCTCTTTGCAACGAAGTGGAGTAGATCGCCTAGTCATTGTACATACACATGAGTTGTAGGCATTTTTTTTTTTTCCCATTTTGCAAAGGCGAACGCGCCGTTGCCTGGTTCACGACATCGATGGGGGGGGGGAAAAAAAAAAGGAAGTCATTCCGTGTGCTCAATTTGTTGGTGGCAAAAATGGGCACTACTACCATTTGCACTCTTCCGAAGAGTGAAGGACACATAGGACAAAATTTCGATGTCTTGTGCTGGTGCCACTTAAATGGGGAGAAGCACAAAGGATGTCCATAACGGGAAGGGATAAAAGAAAGGCTAAAAGAAAAGAAAGCACATACGCGGGGTGTGTGTATATATGTATGTACACATTTATGTGCATGTTTGCTGAGACTGTTTATAGGGGAAGGGGGCCGCTTATCCCGGGAAGCGAAGTAGAAGAGGCGATAGGCCTACGGCGGGAAATACCCATTTTTTTTTCTTCTTCACCGCTATCCAGGTCTTTTTTCGCCTAATTCGCCCGCTTCGCTTCTTCCCGCATCTCGCCTCGTCTTCGCACACCATGAAAGCCAGGGACTCGTCGCTCAAGAGCAAAATTGAAAAGGAGTCCATTGCGCTGTTTAAGAAAAATTTGCTCAAGGAAAGCTACAGTTGGTTCAAAGACACAGACTACTTCGAAAAGCTGAAGAGTGAGAACAAGTACAGCAATGGTGAGAACGAGCACGAGACGAAAAATGTGGTAACGGGTCGTGTGCAACTGGGTTGGGGCGGGACATTCTTCCTGCTCTGTTGTGTCGTCGTTATTTGTGACAACTCAGGATGGCAGTCATGTAACCATTACAATAATAGCATTTTCTACTCCCCAGAAGCATTGACGGTAGTGTACTCGATTCTGTTCATAGTATATGCATTTCCTTTATTCATATTGCATCAATGTTTGGGGTTGCTGTCTCAAGGAAACTATGTGAAGTCATGCAGAATGTTGTCATCTCACATGGGAGTGTTATCCATTTTTTCCCTCTTTGGAACCGTAACCTTTTGTGCGAAGGAAATATGCAATTTTTCAGTGGAGTTTTTACAAAACGTATTGAGAATTGTCCACATGAAGGATGGAGAAAAGAAGTATGGAATGACAAAAGTTTTTATCGACTTAACCAAAAGACAAAGTTCAGATTGTTCTTTAATGCCAGACACAATTTACTTGGAAGCTATAAATCAGTGTATCTCCTTCAATAAAAATGTCATGGTCAATTTTTATGAAAATTTATGGTTTATTGGAAATAAGGATAATTATATATACATTATTGTAATAGCTACAATTTTTATCCTTTTCTGTTACATTATTTTATTACGAGAAAATATTCGAGTCTTTAAATTCTTCATTTTTGTTATTATTGTTAACTGGATTAGTAGCAAGTCTGTTGTTATAATGAATACTTTTTTCTTTTATATTCCTCAGGAGAAAAAATTATATCAAGAGGTGGTTCAAATATTTGAAGAAATTGGAATTGTTAAATTGACCATCTTTTTGTATGGTACCATAGTTAGGAGTTCTTCCATTTTTATTCTTAGTACCTTTGCTTCCTACTTTCATACGAATACAAATATATTGAGAATCACCATGTATACTTTTGCCTTTTACATTCTTAATATGTATTTTTATTTGAAGAATGAAGCCCATGAGTATTACTTGTACAACAACAAAGACTTGGTCACGATGAAGGAGTTCAATTTTATCAAGTGTAACACTTATGTTAATTTGTTGCAGGGGTTGGTGGTGCCTGGTCGGAAGGGGGGGGGATGGGGTGCGTCATTTTCTTCTTCCTTCCCCTCGTCCTACTTAGAGGCTGCCCAAACGGAAGACGATAGGTATGCCGTGTGGCAAAAGCTGTGTCTTTTTTTTAGTTCTTACTCCTTTTTGTTCTCCACCATCTTTATCGTGCTTATGCAGTTGTTGGGTCCATTCAACATTTTAATGGAAAGGGGTAGAAGAAGTGGTTCCTGCCATGCGGAAGCCAAACATAACAATGAAGAACGAGAAAGGAAAATTTATACTTACAAATCGTTAGTTAAACGTTACGAGAGGGATCGTATCAATCGCTCCATCTCGAATAACAGATCATCCTCTCTCTCTAAAAGGGGAAGAAGCGCCACGTGCAGTGACAAATCCACTGACAGGAGGAGGGGGCAGGACACGACTACGAGGACAGCCCAGATAGGCAAAAAAAATAGTCATAAAAAAAATAAAAAAATAAACTTTTTTTGTTGGAATTTTTTTTTTAAAGAGAGGAAAGTTGATGCAGAGAGGGACAACAAGGAAAGTTCCCTCCTCTACTTGTCCAGGAAAAATAGCTTTCTGCAACGAACCGGACGAGGAGGAGACTACTTCCAAGAGCATTCCGCACTTTCCAATGTGCAAAACGGAGGGGAACAAGTGCAACATGAATTGCCCTCCTACAAATGCTTTGACGGGGAACCAAGCGATTTCAACTTTGGGGGAAGTTCCTTCGAAGACGACATCAGGGTAGCAGATCTGGCGACGAGAGAAAACCTCCAAGGGAAAGTGTCACATCGGCGTCCAAGGCAAAGCAGTACCAGTGCACACAGAAATGGTAGTAGCAATATGTATGCAGATAGTGAACCCCCTTCTTGGGGTGCCAGGCGGGAATTATTTTCTGACTCCAGTGGTCCAAGTGCGGGTTCCAGTGAGGCTGCAGAGGGTGGAGCAGGTAGCCGGTGGAGTAGTGGGGAGGGCTACTCTGGCAAGGACAGATCACGGAAGAGTGATAACGCTGGTATAGGTGGCGTGAAGCAAAAGAGTCACTTCCACACTCGAATCATAGCAAGAGTCACAAGAATGAAAAACATAGCCATCAACAAGTATGGCACCTTCCTCCTTTTCATAGTCATATATATTTTGACCATTTTTCATGTGATAGACTTCCGAAGGAACAACGACATCGTTAGTGAGATAATTTTGAATTCTCTTTACAGGGGCTTCTTAACTTTTATTTGTGCTGTTCAAGTGATTTATGCGTCATGGGTATTTGGGATGAAGTTTCAGATGGCCCAGTGCGGAGTTTTCTCATGCCTTTTAAATTTTTTCTCCTGGGTTGTTGTGCTGCCCCTGGTGTTTGTATTCTACTTGGGGGAGGGCAGTTGGTTGCAGGTGTTCATCATCGGGCTGTCCCTAAACATGGCCGCGGTGGCCACGTCCTTCGTGGAGGTTATTGTCAAGCTGCGCAGGGGAGCCGGCTCAAGCGCCTCGGAGAATTTAGCGGTGAAAGAGAAAAGCGGCGAGGAGAACTGCACACAGCACACTGCAGAAAACAAGCGACACTACAGTGACTACGCAGCCCTTTTTAAAAAATGCCTCTACTGGCTATACATAGGAAATATGGAGGTCCTAAGAAGGAACATGAATATTGCCATGTCAGGGAATGATGAAAAATACATCCCCCTTTTTTGGAGCTTCTTTCTCAAGTACATAAATTCTTCTATGCTGATCGTGGTAGTTATATACAATACGCGTGAGTATTTTTTTAATATGCTACCCATGTTTGGGTACTCCTTCAGCCTTCAAATTGAGTTAGGTTCCATCGTCCTGATTTTCTTAGGCTCCTTCGCCGTCCTGGCGAAAAACCTCCGCAAGGGTAACCCAAAAACGAGCACACACATGAAAGAGAACACAAAAATGAGAACACGCCGGAGGGAGAAGTGTCCCCAAGGACACGTCTTAAAGGCTCGTGAACGTGGCAAACATCGCGCACATCGCGAACCGCGCGAACCACGCCCATCTCCCACTGAACAGCCTCTTCACCTGCCCGCCTCTATTATCCCCCCCTCCTCGCAGACCATTACCGGCCACAAGGCATCATCATACCGTCCGTGCCAATGTTCTGTCAGGACAAGAACAGGTACATCTTTGTGAATTAATTCACGAGGGGGTGTTTTGTGTGTGTCCCGTTTGGGCAACGCCAATCTCACATGAGATCCTCCAGATTGTCGTAGTCGTCCTCCTGGTTGTCCTTCCCACTGGGCCCAAGGGGATTATTGCTGGGGGGAGGATCGCTACTAGGGGGGACATTAAACGCATTAAAATCAGACTTAAAAGGAACGTTGCCATAGTCCCACTTGCCTGTGAACTGCATAGGGGTAGGAGGAACGTTTCCCCCAGAGACATTATTCTTCTTCTCGCTCGTGCTCATGGCACCTCCACCAAGGGCCATACTCTGCAAACTCAAGCTTTTGCTATCCATTACAAAGTTGTTAATTGGGTTACTGTGCACGTTGAAGGGAGTGTTGTCCCTTGCTAAAGGCAGGGCCCCCCCGCCACGTGAGACGACATTTATACTCGTGGCACGACTCATGTTCATGCTGGCCGCGCTTGCAATTGGGTCATTTTTTCCTCCGTCACAATTAAACTCCTGGTCTTCTACATGGTTGGAGGTGTAAGCATTCAATCCATCGCTGTTTGAAAAAAAGGAAGTTGCAAAAGGCTCATTGCTTGGAAGGGATAAAGCATCTCCTCTCGGGTTCTGGCGACCGGTCATGATGCTACTGCTGCTTACATCTTCACTATAACAATTAGCTGACTTTAAAAACTGGTGCTTGAAATAAATGTGATAATGGAAACACTTCAAATTGAGGAAGCCCTTTTTGCAATCCCCATAAGGACAAACAAAAACATTTTCACCGACAAAAAGAAACTCCACGTCATTTATTTCTACATTGCACATGAGACACGTCTGTTGCTGAGCACACAGTTCGTAACACTTGCCACATATCACATGGAAGCAGGGGTTCAGTCTAATTTTGGCGTTGTATGGTAGGGCGCACAGGGTGCAGAAGATGGACGGCCCGTTCTCCACCGAGTTCACTTTGTGGCTTATGTTTTGGCATTTCGGCGACGCCCCCAGCGTCCTGTTGCGGTAGTTCCCGGCATTGTTCGCGAAGGAACTCATGCTTCTGGGGGTGGCTAGCGTGGTGAGCGGCGTTATCGGTGGTAACGATCGTGCCGCTGCGACAGCCACAACAAGCAGCGAGGAGAGGGAGAAGAACAAGTGAAGTTTGCACTGTGCCAGGGGGAAGCTTCTTCCAAAAGGGGACCCCTAACTACACATAAGTAAATACGCCACGACCCAAGTTGCTTCCTTTCATCGACACAACACTCGATCTCTCTTGTGATCGTTCGCAATTTAGGAGAACATGCCTTCTTCCGTGCGAGTTTGTATATATTTACTTATTTGCCGTCGTTATAGAAGGGGGTACTCCCCTTTTTCTTTGGGGGGGGAAAAATTTACAGGCGCAAAAAAAAAAAAAAAAAATTACCACTTCTCGCGCGCTGTTATATACTTGTCATGCGTGGAAAAAAGCAACATTTTAAAAACAAACAAATTTGGGAAGAAAAGCGGCTCCTCTTTTTTCTTGCCCGTTCCCCACAGTAACATGTGACAGGCACGGGGGTGGGAACGTAGCTTGATAGAGATTGATTTTCTCTTTGCTCCTGCGCGCTTGTAGAAAAAAAAAAAAAAAAAAAAAAATTTAGGAAAGCATCCAATTTGGGTTATTGTTGTTGCTCCCAACCCAAAGTACATCACTTTTCATATGACCCGTGAAGAGACGACCTCGTGGCGAAAAAAAAAAAAAAAAAAATATATGCATGCAATTGTGACATGCCTCTTTATAGCGCAACGTGGTCTTGTATAGTGTTGTTTTATATACCCGTCTCTTCGCAAAAATGAGTTCGATCCAACTATCACGCACTCACGGAGTGTCTCAATTGTGAGGACTGCGCCAAAATGGCGGCCTGGCCCTTTTGTGTTTTGCTTTTGTTTAGAAATTGGTTGCAGGGTTGGGGGCCACCCCCCACACGTTGAGTGCCCGCAACAAGGGGGAAATATGCGAAAGCACCGTTAGAGACGAGCTTGCGCGCATATGGATTGATGGTTGTACGTGTCCTATGGTTTGCCGATTCTGTTGAATTTAACACCCATATAGAGGTCACTTCTCTTTTACTGTGGCACAGCGAATGGTTTCAATCGTGTTGCTTGCACCTTGGTGACTAGGCGGCGGAGGGAAAGGGAGTCACACACAACCACAACGAAGGATGTCCTGCCTGAGAGGGGTTGTCCTGCACGCACCTTCCAACCCAAACATAGAACCGATTATAAACTAACATATTAGTTACGTGTGCACATTATTCACATACGACACAAGACACAACAGCACACAGGTGTAACACCCTGTTCCAATGCATGCATGCTAAAGGAAAAAAAAAAAAAAAAAAAATAGTTCACCAGAAAACAGAACAAAATCATCCTTCCTCTTTACACAACATGGAAAAGCAAGCACATCACATTTTTCTATTTCTTCGTTTCCTCGTCGTTCGAGATTTGTTCCTTTTTTTTTTTTTTTTTTCCCACCAAATGATACTGGCACCTCCTCCCACAGAATTTCCCCTCCGTGTACAGATGCGTCTAATTTTTTAAAGGACAAAAGTTTGTTAAAAAAAAAAAAAGCTTGTTGGTAAAATTGGCTAGCCACTTTTTGCGGCAACGCTGTTCATTCATTCGTTTTTTTTTTTTTTTTTTGTGACCATTCCAGTTGTTCACTCGTCAAACGTATGCATATAAATGCACGTGTATATGTGCCTGCGCGTAGACCTTCCACGCTTCTTCTCCTGTCCACTCACTACAAAATGGCAAAGGGGGGAGTCGTCAACCTCCTCCTCCTCGTTGCAGTGCTGGCACTGCTGCTACGAACCAGTGAAGCCTCGATCGGAATGGAAAATGACGCAGAAGAAGAAAAAGAACTTCACCTGTCAAGGACAAAAGATGCTTATAGCTTTTTGGAGGCTTCCTTAAACGCCCTGGAAGATAATACACCCCCCCCTTCTCCATACGAAAGAGTTAAGAGGAAAACATCACAGGCAGAATTGGGTTACATTCACCATGAGATGATTAAAAAATTGAAAATTGAAAAGTTAGATAATATCACCAATATTAGAAATGTCATCATTAGGTGTGTCTCGGATTCGGTAAGTGCAAATCGGGTTGGGGGCTACTCGCTGGGGAAAATTATATAATCTGTTGAAATGTGCACAGTGTGCTTGCACATGGCACAAGCTGTTCCCCTTGTGACTGTCTCCCCCTCCCCATCACTATCTCATCGTTACCCCCCTCCCGGCAGATGCAACACACGATGAGGGCCATAACGAGTATCCTCGAGGAAGTCCTAAGCTACAACGAATTCTGCACGTCGCTCGATGAGCACTTTTCATACCTATACGACGCGAACGTTACATTCAAAAAAATAATAAAGTCCTGCAGAACAGCAACTGAAGACGAGCTGAGGGGGAATTATTTATCCCTGTACGTGGAGGACTTTAAATTAATTTTACAAACGTTAAAAAGCCCACACATTTCATTCCGCGATTTTGATGATATCTCAAAATGCTTCGCGAAATTTTACCAATCATTTATTTCCCCCTTTCAAGCGTATGTCCATGACACATCATTTTACATGAAATTTATTGGATCGTACAGAAACCTAGAAGGCCTTTACAAAGTAGAAGATTTCGTCAAAGAGTTTCTTAAAACTTTCCATGCACGCATGTCTACAGAAGAAATCACTCTCTTCTTTGACGAACTATTCAGTATATACACACGTTCTTTTTCGCACGATCGGTGCTTATATCAACAAAAATGAGGTAGCCATGCTGCCTCTTTTTTTGCACACGGTTGCGCTTTTTTTTTTTTTTTTTTTTTTTTTTTTTTTTTTACAGCTATATAATT